TCCAGGCTGCCGCTGCACGCTACCCGAGTGGCTCTACCCCACCATCAGGCTCCTGCTCGGATGGACAGTCACCCACCTCTGCCCTACACCCAGCTAGATCCGCTCCATCCTACACTCGATCTTGTGCCAAGAGGTTTTACATCCCGTTTGGGATCGCCCTTATCTTCGTCCCCACCGCTGACGCCATCCCAGCCCCTAAAGCCAAGCAGGTGGAGCTGCAGAGAACCCTCCAGCTATGCTATCGCTACTGCTGTGCCCACAAAAACGGCCAGATACAGGACAAGATTGCTGGGAGTCCTACTGTGTCAGCACTGCGCAGTGCGGAGCTGGGCCAGGCACTGCCTGGAAGCGTTCGTTCGATCTCTAGATGCTTTATGCAGAGGGAAGACAAATGCCACAGCATCCAGCGTAGCAATAATCCACTTGCTACGACCATCCCATCCATGGTAACACACAACCTGCACAGTTGTGGTTCTGTTCCACCTCAGACCTGGATATTAGTGCTCTCTAGAATGTTTCGTGAGCCTCTGGAGGCATGTTGTCCCCCAACTACCTACATCTGCCCAAGCCTGAGCCTCACTGGGATTCCCGCCCCTCCGCACAGCTTCCCCCAGAGGGAGAAGGGCTTCAGGTGTCCCAGGAGGGAGCCCAGCCATGTTGACACACAAGCTCTCTCTTGCCTCATCTCGCAACGCGCGCTTCTTCACTGAAGCATCTCACTCTTTTCCCCTCCATTCCCTAGTTGTGGAGGGCAAACCTGCCTGGCAATAGGATACACGTGGCTACAGCACAGTTAAAATAAAAATGCAAGTTACATAGCAGGAGTGCAAACACGTATTATTTATCTTATGCTGAAAGCCATTCCTGGTAGTGAGGACACCGCCTAATTATAGAGTCGAGAATCCCGCAGTCTGCGCCCACAGCACCCTGGAAACAGCCATGACGGTGACTTCAGGCTGTCCCACCCTTGTCACAAACGCACGCTTGCCTCCCTCGGGGGCTCCCGGCCTCTGCCCGCCGTCCCTGGCGGTGAGGCAG